TGACCCTCCCTTTTCGAACTGGCCGTGCCTTTACTGACTTGGCACATTCACATAATATGCCAAAACCATGTGTGCACGGTGTGTGGTGTTTATGAACTTCTTGTTCAGCTCCAGCGTATTGTCTTTTCAGTACTTGGTCACAGTTGCTCCCGTCATTTGACTCTAATGTAACTAGTGCTGTTTTTAATGTTCGAATCAGTATTGCTGCTCTTTAGTCTAGCATCAGTGTGCACTGGCCGAAAACGGTCGATGAGAGGCTTCACATCTTTTCATTGCACAAGTATTTGGTTAGGATGACAGAGTATTGCATTCTGGCACAATGCTGCTTCGGCATTGCCTTGCTGTGCTTCTGCGAGTTGAGCAGAAGTGTGGCATTGGTTCAGGTTGTTCATCGGCATGTATGCGTTCCTTGCTGCGATGTTGGCAGTTTGCACACCAGGTCTGACGGGGCGGAAATGAAGGTTGAAGCCATCCGGCCTGAGTCATATTGTTTTTTTTGAGCCGGACTAAGAACTAAGGCGGTAAACTTTGATGCTGTGTCGTCATTGCCCTGCATCAGAGTCTAGTAATTTCTTGGCAAACTTAGGAATGCAACGGAATCCAATATCGTTGACTGGATGATGCCATGAGGGACTCAAGCGATGAAGACCGCAGAGCACTTTTTAACAGCCATGCTCGCATGTGCATCAGTTTTGTATGGACTTGCGGGCCTTTCTCTGAGCAGAGGAATGCTGACGATGTGTATGTATGTATGTATGTATGTATGTATATGTATGTATATGTATATATTTGCACGCATGTTTGTGCGTGCGTGTTTGTTGAGGGTACCACCATTTTGGGGCAAGCTTTAGGACTCCCTTGTTGTGACACATACTCACAACATGTCATTATTATGAGGGCCCACGTTGGCACAGTCCGGATCCAAAACCATATTCTGCTTTGGTCTTTTGCGGGCATTTCTCAGCTGGCGCAATTCTGCGAAGAAAGGCGTTTGCCATTGGCCAGTCACGCCATGTTTGTTTGGTTGGCTTGCATGAGGTGTGAGGAGCGCCTTCGCGAGCCTGGGGCAACACATCTCTGAGCTCTACGAGTCGTCTTCCAGTGGGGCGCCCAGGAGTTTCTTGCAGTTGCAGGGGTCCTTTTGATCGAATTTGGGAGCAAGAGATGAGCAAGCCACTGGTTTGGATCGGTGTTATGACAACCATTCACCCCACCAATGAACATGGAGCCTGACGTTCGGGGGTCCCTTAAAGGAAAATGGTCTTCGAGGAGCCGAACGGTTCCATGTTGATTGCTGGGAGGGTACCAGGGCAACCCATTTATGTTCAACTAAAATGACGCCTATGGTCGCTCTCAATCATTGCTCTGCACTTCAAGTTCCAGAACCCGATCACCCCATGCTGCTGAAAAGGTCTAGTTGCCGAATCATGAGCGTTCCATGCTTTATACGAAGCAACGCCATGCATGAGACCACTTAGTAGGACGCGTATGAAACCCACCCAAGAAGTTATAAGCACCAAGGCCTAGCAACGGGTGCCCTAGTGTCCTTACTGATGAGAGGGTCTTTGGCTTTTCCTTTTGCTTGGAGCTGAGGAACGATCGGAAAACGAACTCGAACAAGACAACACTGAAGTACAGAAGCGCACCAAAATCCCTCGAATCGTGTCGTTCATACAGTTCAATGTCCGACAGCAATGACGTACTATCCATCAGGCGGCTAGTCCTTCATGCATTCTCTCCAAGGAGGGCCCCACTGACATCAAGCACTAATAGAGGAAACAGGGACCCTGTGAGCATGATGGTCCAGAAATCGCAGTTTGGTCTGAGACGCGAGTTTGCACAATTTGCTGCACGGTGGACTTCAACTTGTTGCATCAAGATGCATAGACAAGCACACCAGTGATTTGGCCCACCTCTTCCAGTAAATAATTTGTGCATCATACGACGTGTAGCTAAATGAAAGGATCAGTGTCGGAATTCTCAGAGCAACTTGCAGGCGTGCGCCTAGCATGGAACAGGAACTGTTGATGTCCGCTTCAGGATCAGACTATACATATTGAGAGAGACTCAGACACCACCTGAGAACAGAAGCCGTTTTCTTTGCTGGACTAGCCATTGCTTCCTTGCATGTCCTTTCGCCGGATCAAAGGTAACAGTGCTGTCACACATTTGCCCTTGAGAACCGTGTCCTCTCTCAACTCCATGTTCCTTTCCAGCGCCTAGGCTGCTGTGGACCGACCTCTGTCCGCGTCTTGGGTGTTCTTTTGCAGCGGAAAGGAAGCCTCAGGAAAGCCAGGTCACTGGTTGTTTTCGATCCACCATCTGTTCAACGGGCGAGCTCCCCCAGTTGGGTGTGTGGCTCTTTTTGAGGCTACCTCTCTTTTTTGGTGGCTTTTACAGGGAAACCAGGAAGCCGAAGCCATTTTGGGGTCCCCGCGCAAAAGACACACTCAATTCCCAGCAGAAGGGGAGGGGGGTGGCCGTTTATTCACCTCCCAATGTCACTTGACAATGACCGTGGCTCAAGGGGCAGGAGGGCTGATCTTCGCCGGGATCAGATGGAATGAGGCTGTGAGCAAAGGGCATTGGGTTGAAAGCCATGACCGACGGCGTTCATTTGTTTCCAGTTGCCGAGTTGCCATCTTTTGCTTCCTGCTCCATAATGGACCTATTGGACAAGGTTCCGATCGGCCTTCCGCTTCCTATCACGTTTAAGAGAGAATTGTTCAGGTTCACATGCCCCCACTGATTGTCCTTCAAGCTGCGCCCGCAGAGTTTGGGAAGGGGGTGCAGGTTTGTCGCTTGACGCCTCCTTTGGCTAAGCGACAGCCTGGGTGTCTTTTGAAATCTGAGTGGTCTAGCCTTGTTCCCTGTTCAACAGCCATCTTGCTCGCTGATCTCCCATTCGATACGGCAGCTTATGAGAATTCATCCTTGCTGTGCTTTCTGAACACGCCTGCAACCAATCTGGGGACACCGGGATGCTTACTCTCGAGCGCGCCGGAGAAGCTTATGTGTTTGCCCGCTTAATCAAAGGTAGGACTAGCCAGTAGAGCGTGGCATCACACTGTCTGAAGAGTGCTTATGCTGTGCTGACATCCCGACTTTGAGACGCCCGAAATCTCGTCCAGCTGAAGACAGAGCTCGCGTTTGGTTGTCTACCTGGGGCCTTCAACGGATGTGTTGGTTTGCATTATCTCTTGATTTACTTGTACGGAAACTGCCTCAAAGACGAGTCGAGGCAACAGCACATGGTTTCCTCACCTCACCTGAAGTGAAACGAATCACGCGCTCTTGCTCGATGCACTGCCACCAAGAACCACCTGATGGACGAGGAAGTTATGGGAAATGCAAGGACTGCTTGAAGCACCTTGGGACAAATAGTGAAGGGCGGGTGAAGCGCAGGTCCGATTGCAAGATGCACACGGCGCCCCATCTTCAGTTGATGGGATGGTTTCTTACACAAATGACCCTAGGAATCCTGACATGCTGGCTCAAAGCGAGCAGCTGCCAACTTTGTTTTTGTTTGTTTGTTGATTGGTTTCCTGCATTGCATTAAGCAACACGGGGCTTATGCTCATGTGTGCTATGGTCAAGACTTGCATTGGGGCTGTTGGCTGTTCGGGGTTGTCGTTGACGGGTAGTAACGGCTCTGCAAACACTGCAATGGCATATGTTGAGGGAGCCATGACCATCCCCCCGGTGCAAGAAGCTTAAGCATCGCATTGTAGCTTCCAGCATCCATGGTTTTAGCCGCGCGGGGCTTGCATTGAGCAGGAATCATCGACGCTGTGGTGGGGTAACCCTCCTTTCAGACAGGTCAGAAATATCATGGCGAGAACAAAAACATGTGCTTCAAATAACAGATGGGTGCTGCAGGCTTAGATTAATAAACGTACATAGCGCAAGAAGCTGAGAAGCAGGTGTGAAGGCGTTTGCCATTCTTGACTATGTTTGGGGAGTTTGGAATTATATCATGCTCAGCAGACGGTTTCTTCTGCCAACCTGGAAATGATCAAAAGGGTGCTGTGACCGTTGTGCCTGTCTGTTCCGTGTTTAGCCTCAAGATCCTTGGCAGGCGGCTGAAAGGTTGCTCGATAGGGAATCTGGCATGCGTGATGATAGTGGATGTAGAGGACACCCTTTGAAATCGGCAGTCCTCACTTTCTCTGTCATGGCAGTTTCAAATGCTGTTGGTTATGGTTTTGCGTGGCTTTGTATGGTTTTGTATTTTATAATACTATAGGTCCGCTGGCTTGGCTGCACGGCTGAAGTTGCTTGTGAATCCGTTTGCGTATGTGGCATTTGGCTGCGTTCGAGGCAGAATTGGGGCGCTCGCTGAGCGTTCTCCCCGATCTCCGCGAAGAGGTTAATTCGGCGAAGCCCGGTTTCTCTCAGGGCAGAAGGCCAAGAGAGATGTTTCGCGGGGCGTGCGAATGCTTCGGAAATCCGCTGGAGAGGTAGGCAAAGATTCGGGCAGGTGCTGTGTATTGAATTTCTTGGAAACAAGTGCTCGGCTCGCTTTAGTTGCCCAGTTTTGGCAGAGGGTTTCTTAGCTTCCGCTCGCCCCGGGCTTGCAGAGCCCAGCTTGAGAGGCTTCCATTGGCGACCTATTTTGTGCTCATCCGGAACTTTCAGATGGCATTTTCCAGCACCAGCCAGATGGCACCGCGGAAGGTTTCTCGGGCAAAAGGACGAGCCGGATGCTGGCAGCACAGCGATTTCAGGTAGAGGCAGCGGTCTCGCACCGGTCAGAGGCACAGCGCAATGAGAACTCATCTCCCAAAGATCCTGGAATTTGAGTGGTGACGTTCCAAGACTAGCGGGCTGACACTGGCAATGAGGTGCATGGTGTTTAGTCTTCAGTGGCTGATCCTTGAAGTCGCGGAGCCTTGATTAGCATCTCCTTGAAGCTTAGCACCTTGGTTCGTCTGGGAAACTCAGCGTGGATAGCAATTCCAGGCTGGTGCTTTGCTGCGGGTTCGGGTTCGTGTGCCTAGGCCACTCGCTTTGAGCATAGGCCCTGGCCTGGGTTCGGGGGCGGAGTGCATTGAGTTGCTGAAGCCCCTGCAGTAGCGGGCGGACTGGTCCCTGAAGCAAGAAACATGCGTCATGAACTGCACAGGGGCGTTCAGAAATCGCATTCGTCGGAAACTCCACCTATCTTGGGCCATGAAATGTTCGGTCGCAGACATGGTCTGTTGGTTCTGTTCCGCTTGCCAGGATCGACCTTCCCTCCGAACCTGTGTCAAGGCGGGTTGCGACGCAGGAAAGGCTGCAAGCTCCCAAACCTTGCCAAGCCCATGTTGCTATGCAGCTCGGAATGAGGGGTCTTGTCTGTAAGCCATTCTGTAAGCCACGAATTTGCACATATCGGTGGGCAGTGAGGGAGTGTGTGAGTAAGTGGGCGTCTGTGTGTGTGTTATGACCATGCGAGCTCAGACAAGAGGGTTTTCAGCAGAACAAAACAAAACTATACAAAAACTCAAAACCAGCTCAGCCAAAAAGTCGACTGAAACCACACACTCAGAATAAACACAAACCACAGAAGAACATGAAAAACAAAAACAAGGGACGACTCGAAGACAACTCAACCTTCAAGTCAGAAAAAAAGGCTCGGAGAAAAAAACTCAGCCATCAACTCGATTCCCCATTTGAGTTTGAGGCTGAGGCTGGAGCTTAGTACTCCCCAACCAGCCCCCTCAGAACAAACTCAAACAACTTAAACAACTCAGAAAGCACTCAGACACCACTCAGAGAAAACTCAGCTCCAGACTCAGCCTCAAACTCAAGTGGGGAGATCGAGTTCAAGGAAGAGTTTTTTCCCCAAGTTTAGTTTGTTCCGAGTTTTTCCTGAGTCTTCCCAGATTGGGAGTTTACCAGATTGCGCTTTCCGGATTGAGGTAGTTTTTGGATCTGTGGCCTCTCTGGGCGAGATGAGGGCATAATGTTAGAGCGAGAGAGGCTTCAATCAGTGCGCAAAAGGCTACCTCAGTCAGCATGTTGCAAGATGATGAACATGTGATTACTCGATGCATCCCCATGCCTGTAAAGATGCAATCAGTGTCGTCCTTCGGATAGGACGGCTCCGAAGCTTCCTTCAAATTATATTCCCTGTTCTCCACCCAGAACATGGCAGGTTTGGAAGCAATGGCCACCTGCACGTGTGCTGCTTCGTTGATCAAGCGTTTTGTTTTTTTGTGCGCGTGTGTTGACAGCTCATCACAAGCTAAGAACAGTATTTACAAGCATGACGGTTGGTTATCATGTACATGTAATGTTCATTGCATGTTCACATCGTGGGAGTGTCTTTTTAGGGGACCCCCCCCCAAAAGAAAAACAAGTGGTTTTCCTCTCTCCCTTTAAAGCCACAAACAAGGGTACCCTCAACAAAAAGACAGACCCACATTAGTTATCAAACAGCTCTCCGGAAATGCCGATAGCTTTCGTTGACCCCCTGCCAGGCATGAGGACAGCCTGCAGGCGGGCAACTTGTTCCATAAGGCGTTGACGAGCACACCCAATGTATCCAGTTGTTTGTTGTGTTTTAAACTGTGTTTGTATAAGATTGGTTTAACTTTGTAAATGTGGGGCACAATCAATACAACACCCAAAGATAGCAACAAAAGAGCGGGTTACCTGTGAAAGTGGTAGCTGGAATCCAGGGATGGTGTTGCACATCTTATTAACCGCCGTGAGCAATGGTTAATATTTCTTCTATCTCTCGACTCTCAACCTTTGCTTGCCAAAAGCAGCAGCACTACCACCGCAACCACGACCAGCACCACCGCCGCCAGCACCACCACCACCATCATCGGCATAATCGTCATCATCGTCATCATCGTCGTCATCATCATCATCCTCATCATCATCATGTTTGTAGTGTTGCTCTTGTAGAGAGCAAGACGGCTATGTGCTGGGGTACTGTACTCGCCACATGTCAGTCAGCGGCAGAGATTTGCACATGTTCCGTAGCTCCAGTCTTTCTAGACAACAAGTGCAGCCTAGCTTGCATTGCATGGTTTTCATTGGCCAATGCCGATACTATGTACCCGAGAAACAATACATGCTGTTGCCTTGCGACTGCAAATGACAGAAGGCTTGGTTGGAATAAACGCCCAAACGCCCACCTTGCCAGGTTTTGATTGAAAAGAAGCACTATGGTCACATTCAGTGGCAATCCCAGTATGTCTATGGCTCCCATACCAACCTGCCAGGCTTGGCTCAGTTTTCGTGCGACAGGTTGACGCCTGGCCGCATGACGCAGGACGGCGCTGGATTCGCGCTTTTCCAGGGCCTCCTACCTCCTTTTCTGAAAGGGCGGCGCACTGGGGCAGTTTGTGTGTTTGTTTTCGGGGATATGGTTCTGAAGCAGACTCCTTACACTACGGGTTTGGCACTCTCCTTCTGACCCTGTCGATGATTTGTACCGGCCTCGCGAGTTTGCTGGCCAAGCGCCTTCGGGACATTGCAACAAGAAAGCACAGAGACAAAGAGTCCAGATCACTCAGAAAGGCACCGGGCCGGTTGCGAGAGAGAGGAAACTGCTGGTGCTTCGCCGGATTCAGTCGGGATGTTACATGGACCGAGTCTAGTTGAGCGCTTGTGAGGTCTTTTCATTTTTGGCCAAGGGCATCTTGGCCGCTTGAGGGCCTCGGCTTGTCAGTGTTCACTTGGTCCACTTTGGCTCGCTTTGCCAGGCCCGTAGATATTTGTGGCTGATGTGTCCTGTGTGTGAGGACGGTCCTATGCTGACCAGGACAGAATCGCTCCAGGCAGTCGCAAAGTTGGACAGCCTTGGACATGTGCAATGCGATGTGCAGGAATGGACTTCTCTGTTTGGCCTGTGAGTACGTTTGATTGCATGTGTCACTTGAAGTACCGGTTGGAACGTGATGCCTTTTGCTGGCGGGAGGGAGAATGTATCGCACCAAGGAGTCTTATTTTTTGTTTCTACTAGCATTGTACAGGGGTTTCTTTCACTAACTAGGACCCCAGCAAGGCTCTGAGAGCCCTTCATCAGAACCGCCGAGGTTCTAAGCGCATGCCCTGCCGATGGTTGGGGAGGGCCTGTGGTGTCTCTGTACTCAAGAAAACGGTTTGGATGCGCTGTTTGTGGATTGCACCGGTTTGCCCCCTGTTAGTCCTTTTTTCGGTAATCTTTTAGTACTCTTTTTATATTTTACAGGGGCTCCACAAAAACCGCATCAAAAAACCGTTTTCTTAGGCGCTGCTGGAGCTCTGAATTCTGCCCGATCTTTGCGCTAGGAGGGCGACCTGGCTGATGGCAGAGCCGATAGTCACAGCCGGTCCCTCTCGCTCGTGGGGGCCTCAGGGGTGAAGAGATTGGCAAATTATTGCAGAAACGCACATTTCAAGATGGGGTCAAAATTAAACCATCAGGGGACCAGGTTTTGGTTCCTACGTCCACTTACCAGGGTTCCATTTGGGGTCCCTGTTTAGGGAGAATGCATTGACATAGAATCGAACTCGAATAGCCGACAAAACTATGTGGGAGTTCTCCCGACTGAATGAAAGTGGTTCAAACAAATACCTGTGGGCGGGCTTCCAAGTGGGTGTGGCTCAACATGCAAGGGCTAGGGTTACGAAGGTTTTGGTCTTTGTTTCCATGTTACCAGGAGCTGGCTGAGCGAGCTCTGGCCACGGAAACTCAGAAACATGCGATGAAACCCAAGCACTACGATCATTCGGTGGTTGTCTCAAAATGGGGGCACCCACAAATTGGTTGTTTGCCTATGGAACAAAGGATCGATTTCTTTCAAAACAGAACACCCCACAACAAATATATGGCTGTGGGTCACAAATATGTGCGCTATCCACTGGGCACTGACACTTGTCACGAATTGAGAGAGGATCCACATGCGACGATTGCTCAAGGGGAGCACTCTTTGCAGACAGACCGGGGCACTTTGCAGAGTTATAGTTAATCAAGACACGGCCCATATTTCATCAGAGTGCCAAGGCTCAGAAACAAAAAGGCTCAACCTGCCCACCTTGAGGTTTGAACGATTGCGAAAAGCGCATCCCGTCCGTGTTGCATAAAAAGGTCGGCGACAGAAGTCAGGCACTTACTTGCCTGTGGGTAAAAAATAGGGTAACCCCGCAATGGAACCCTGGGAAATGGAATTAAGTTGACTGAGTCCCGTGGTCGGATCTCTGGTGGTTTAGTTTTGACCCATACCCAAATCCACATGACCAAAGCAAGCGGATGAGGTCTCAAGAGCGGAGGACATCCCTTGCTTGCGCTCCAGCAGCTTCGTGACGTGTTGGCCTCGGCGCGAATTCTGAGAACTCACTGGGCCCCATGGTCTATGGGTGTTGCTTTTTCCAGGGGATCCCTAAAATGGTGTTGTTTCCTTTTGGTTTCCTTTTGGTTTCCTTTTGGTTTCCTTTTGGTATCCTTGGTTCTAAAAAGGATTCCCAAAAAAAAACGCGCCCGTCTCTGATTAGTTGTTCCTGCGGCGATAACTTTGTGTGTAGCTGAGTTTCTTGAGTCACTCGAAGGCAATTCACTGCATCTTTCGTTGGTTTCGCAAGGCTGCAGCAAACGGGCAGTTGAGTATGTATGTATTAATGTACTTCTATGTACTTCTTTAATTCTTTTTTAGGGGGTTGGGGGTTGCTCCTTTTGAGCCAAGCGTCTTAGCACACGGTCCCACACCCAGCTGCCATTGACTGCGCTGGCTGGGCTAAGGCGGCAGCAGAACCTGCCGGAGGAGGGTGTGTGCGCCCAGCCTTGTTGATGCAACCAGAAAGGGGTTGCCTTCCCAGAATTGTTCTCCCTTAGGGCCTTAGGTGAATCTGCAGCATAGGTGTCCCTTTTTTGGGTTAGTTTGGTTAGAAATAGATGGCACTGGTTTAGACCGGCTTTGTTCCATTTGTGAGGGCCATCTATTTTACCAAAAGGACACTTATGATCTGGAGGGGGAGCTGTGTAAACAATGGAGTGCCACGATTGTGCCTTGTCACTTGCCCAAGTCCTCAGCCTGTTTGCCTATTTTGCGTTGGTGGTGAAGCAACACCTTGGTATCGCTGAAAAACGAGATTATAGCTTGGTCAGAGCCGTCTGATCTGGTTCTCCTGAGTGCTGGGTCTGATGGATATAGAAGTGTTGGACGTCAATCCTCAGCAATTAGTGCCCCTACAGCAGTTTGATGCTGTTGCAAGTGGCGCAGCCCTTCCATACTCAGCAGCTCGACTTGGGTGCTGCGATTTGATCTGTTTCGGTAGACGCAAGCACGAGACTCCAGCCGAGGCTCCAGCGTTTCTGGTGGAGAGACTCAAGAGGAGCCCTGATCGTGTTTGGAGTGCCGGTCAGCTGGAGCCATGCGGAGAGGTTAGCAAGGCTATGCCTCTTCGTTTGATTGTCGTGGAGCTCCGCTGGGGCCTTGGGGCCTGGCTACGGCTGGCATTCGGATCTGCCAACTGCAATAGGCACTTGCGGACTTGTATGGGGTTGTCAGAACTGTTTGTGGTCGTTTGCGAACCCCTTTCGAGGCATTCAACGCCAGCATGATTCCATGGTCAGCAGGGCCGGCGGCCATATATGTCCTATACCTGCTGCACGTGTGAGGCTATTGTTGACCTCTAAATGAACCCCCCGAAGTACGCGGTGGCGTCCCTTTTGAGTGGGGATTCCTTCCATGGGGACCCCAGTGCCATGGGCACATCGAGGTCATTTTGCAGACTCAACCCTAGTACAGGGACCCGAACGGGTGTTTGCAAAATAGACCCTATCCAGTGGGGTCACACAACAGGGGACAACAGGGCAGCCATGGGACCCCCAAAATGGATTTCGGTGTTTCCTGTGTTTTCCAGTTAAAGCCGCCCCAAAAGCAACTACCCTCAAACAAAGCCCACACTTTAAGAGACTCTCCACTACCCCCAAACCACTACCCCCGGAAAAGTGGGGCACATGAACTATATATGGTGGTTGTATCTCCCATTTTTCCTTCTGGGGGTTGTGGTTTGGGGTGGTGGACCCCATCTTAGACACACGTTTGGGTCGTTCCTGTCTTTGTGTGGACAGGAGCTGGTGGAGAAGTTGGTACGGCTCGCGGTGATGCAGATCTCCGCGTCCAAGGACATCCCCCGACCAAAGCGAGCGGGCTCGCCTTCTCGTGCAGGGTGGATGAACATCCATTTGATGTTCACCAGGGGTACAGGGTTTTGACCCACAGCCATGTTGCATAGGGGAATGAGGGAATGAGCCTTATAAACCAGCATGTCTTTTTTGAGGGTATGTACCCTGTTTGGGTTGGTTTAAAGGGAGACCAACAGTAAATCAACAATGCTGGTCCCCCCATTGTTGAGACAACCCCAAATGCAAGTGGTCATAATATATCAGAGACAACACTACCGGTGTTTGTCCAAACGCTCAGGGATCCGAGGGCGGGCTGGGGTTGGGTTTTGGTTTTCAACTTCTGTATTCAACAGCAATCAAGTTGCAAATTGTTGAACAGATGGTTTACGGTCACAACGTGGTGGCCTTTGCGCTTGCCTCATCTTGCCTGTGCTCAGTAGGGAATGAGGGAATGAACCTGGAATTTCCCTTAAAGGAAACCACAAGGGTTGGTTTGTAGGGGTCATTCCATTTCTCATTCCCTGCCTATCGCAGCAGCAAGTCAGCGCTTGCCTCGCTTGCTTTTGAGGACTCCGGCACCGTACTTCCAGCAGCTGGACCTCAGGAGACCTCAGTGCGGCTTGGCAAGCTTCGCGGTGGATTTTCTGGCCTGGGACAAAACACGGGCAGTGGTATTTGGTTTTCTTCGGGTTTTTCCTATTCGGGTTTCCCTTCAAAAGGGTAGCCTCAACAACAAAGACACACATTTGGGGACTAACGGGGAACGAATGGTCCAATGCGTAGGAAAATAATCATTTGCATAAAGCGCTGCATAAGGCTGAATAGCATCGGATGAATTCGGCGGACCAAACAAATGAGAGGAATGCCCCGGCATGAATTAGCTCCCCATTGAATCGGGAGCCACACCCAACCAGTCTCGATCTCGCGATGAATCTGAAGTTGACACTACACATATTTGACCCTACACTGATTTTATATTAACGTGTCAAGGAATTGCCACTGAGGCCTGCAGGAGCGAGAGCAAGCGAGAGCACAAGAAGACTAGCTCTGTCAATCACAGCCAACAACCACCAATCAGCAACCGCCAACAACAGTACCAACCGCCAGCAATCAATGACCAGCCGCTTATGCACAACGCTCTATCAGCCAATCAGCATCCAACCAGCTAGCCAACCAGCCTGCCAACCAGCCAGCCAACCAGCCAATCAGCCAACTAGCCAACCGACCGACCGACCAACCAACCGACCAACCGACCAGCCGACCAATCTTCTGCAGCTCACACGCTGCATCCACCTTACCCGCCGAAAGTTTATCGTGTTGCACATGAAGTTGTATCATGGCTTACAGTGATGTTGAGACTGCGTCCATCAGGGCTTGCCAGTGTGTGTGTGTGTGTGAGTGTTGTGTGAGTGGGCTTGCTTGTTTGTTTGTTTGCTTGCTTGCTTGTTTGTTTGTTTGTTTGTTTGCTTGCTTGCTTGTTTGTTTGTTTGATTCTTGCTTGCTTGCTTGCTTGCTTGCTTGTTTGTTTGTTTGCTTGTTTGTTTGTTTGTTTTTGTTTGTGCTCCCCCTTGTGTGTTTGATTGATTGTTTGTTTGTCTGTCTGTCTGTCTGTTTGTCTGTTTGTCTGCCTGCCTGTCTGTCTGTCTGTCTGCCTGTCTGTTTGTCTGTTTTTTTGTTTGTTTGTTTTTTGTGTGATTTGTTTTTTGTGTTTGTGTGTGCGCGGTATGCATGTGTGCGTGTGTGTGTGTGTGTGATGAATTCGCACTTGTGTGGTTGTGTTGTGTGGCGAGTGTCGGTTTGTTTAGCGGTTAGCTTCATTTCTCCGTGCCCACCCCTCCCAACTAGAAACTGTCCAGAGTCTAATGGGCGAGACACGACAAAAGCTGCCAACACGGGAGGTCCAAGCTCTCTAATGACATTTGCAACGAGTTTGGGCCCTATCCAACTATAAATCTGTGGTTGGCCCAACATCATCATCCAACTGTGGCCGTCACGCCTAAGATTCTAAACTCTTCTCTGAAATTTGGTAAATCAATTACATTGAGGAGTTTGTTTTCCCGTGGCAACACACAGATACTGATTTCGACTGCCCCGCGGGCCTTGCGCAGAGCGGTAGCGTCCAAGTTTGTAGCTTCATCCCTGGGGTCGTTTTGGTGTTGGTGCCCCTTTTTGGGTTGGTTGTAAAGGGAAGCCAAACGGAAACCCGTTGCGCCATTTTGGAGGGTCCAACCTCAAGACAGACCCAGATGTCCGCACGCGACATTCGAGCAGTGCTCAAGTTCCTGCGGCAAAAGTGTAGCCAAGGTCGGAACGCTGGTCTCCGGAATTCACAGGCGCGGTGTCATGTTTGGTTGATGGCACCAAACATGCTGGAGCTTCCAAGTCAAATCTTGAAAACCACAAAACAGACCGACGCATGCGGCCAATCGACTTCTCCGTCGGGTGCTCTGGCGCCGGAGATGAGATAGAGCTGTGTGCCTATGTCAAGCTCCTGAGGGGTCTCATGATATACACATATGCACCCCCCCCCCCCCCAAAACCCGCCCCTGCTGCTTGTGCAAGGGAAGTCAGGTTATTTAGATGGATGTTACCAGAAGTGGGCTCATTGTAAGACTTTGCTTTGCCACCCATTTAACTAGTATTTGCTTCTACTTTCTGACCAATTGTTTGTGGCATTGCTCCTTTTGATCATTGTTTAATCACTTCATACATCTTCTGGTCATATAGAAGTGCCTGGTAAGGGGTGGACATCACCCAAAGTACTTGAAATATCGTCAATTCATTTGGAGTGTGTGTTTTTGGGGGGAGTACCACATATATTAATATACATGTATATATATATATATACAGCTGTAGGTCCTTGACTTGGATCAAATTCGTATTTCAGGTACAACTATCGACAACAACTTGCTGCTGTCTTCTTCGGACTCGTGTTTCGATGTGCCACTTCACGTGCCATGCGTTTTCGGGAGGATATGTCTGAGACAGGGGACGCTGAATACCTGCAAGTGCATGTTCTAACACCTGCATCGGACCATGACGTCAGCGGCAAGCATTTTCTTGCGTGGGGTATACTTCAAGTCCTGAAACGCATCATGCAGCCGTAGTGTTGGACCTGCTTCAATATACTCCCCCCAAGCAGTGCCAAGAGTCACTTGGACCCTCTTTAGTGGCAAGAGGGAGTCTGGCAATTTATTATTTCTTGCGCAGTTGTTGTCAACATCTTGTCGGTGGGTGTAGCACTCCTTCTATAATAGGGGACCCCCAGCACTTTGGAAGAATACCATGCTTTCGCCCGTAAAATCAAAGCAAAGCGGTTCCAACATTAAGACTCTAAGACGCTCAGGTCAGGGCTATGGTAATTACGGTCAGAGCTCTTTGCTGTTGCCCCCACAATTACGCCTCTGGTCAGGTCCAGGGCTTTCGGAGAAGGAGCCGGCTGGGCAGGGCAGAACTTGCCTACACCAGGCACAGCGAGGCTCGAGCAGGCCGCAACCAGAGGCTCCGCCGAATACGCGCCGGAGAAAGGCATTGAAGGGATGCAAAGGTGTTCGAGATAAAGTCATGTTCTTCAATGGCTGCATTGTTTTCATTGCGCAACACAGTCGAAGTGATGAGCGGCTTCGAATGCTGGCGCTAACACCAGAGGAGGCAGCTGGAAGAAATATAAACTCGTGCAAGCGCCCGTTCTGCAGGCTCTGACATGCAACGGGTTGTATGCTTTCATGTTCGCCTGTTTTGCCACAGAACTGCGGCAGCCTATAGCCAACACATGATGCTACACACGCCTTCAACTGCCGTGTCAACTTTATCCTCAAGGGGATCAGCACCTCCAAATTTCGGCTGCCACGCACTTTCACGCGTGCAACCTCCACCCTTGCACCATGGGGAGGTTCGTGGTCTCAATGATGTTGCACCTCTACTGTTTAAGCTCAGGCGATGCCCGAAAGAAAAACTTCAAAGTTTTACTTGACTGTGCCGGGTACCCCCTTTTTTGGTGGCGTTAAATGGAAACCACAACCACAAGTAAAAACACCAAATGGCAGCTCAGCCTGTCTCCATTTGCACGAGCGGCGGTTTGCCGTTTCAGCTGTCCAGGAGAACTCCTGCCTCCCCGTGCCCGCTAACCCGGCCCCAGCGCTCAGCGGGGTTCAACATCCAAGGGGTGACCCAACCCGCGAAGCCCCGCACAGGAACACGCGTTCCTGAGCATTTTAAGAAAGCCTCTCTACTTGGCGTTACATTCTTGATCAATCCGTTCGGCCACCCATTTAGTGGTGAAAATCATTTGTTGTGGTTTCCCTGATGGTCATCCCATATCAAGGGCCTTTTGATCAACCCTCACATGCTGGACTATGGGTCAGAGCTGCTTCTGGAAATGTCTTACCCGATGTGGGGACAGCTGATCAGCTCGCTGGATTTGTGTATGGTCATGCTCTTGCTTTTCGGGCTTCGGTACATGTTCTTTGTATGGTTCCAAGATTGAGCCAAATGTGGGACGATCCTGTCGTTTCGGCGCGCAAGCATTGGCCGCTGGCGGGACTGGCAAATAATTTAAGTCAAAGCAGGGAAAGAGATTTGAGTTTTGCTTCGAGGGGATGCTGGAACACAGATAGCCATGGGTCCAGATCCCGTACCCCAGTGAACATCCCAATCCCCACTAGAATAGACTAGAATGGGTGGTGCACCTACCCCAAAATGGTACCATTGGTTTTGACCCACAGCCAGATGAGTGCTGTTGGGCACTGCTGCCCTCCAGGGTAGTCCGCGCGCTTGAACCATTCGCCCTAGTTCACCCTATGTTGAGTACATCATCCTGGGCATTTGATATGTTTGCGGTTTACCTTTCATGATGATGTGGTTTCAAATTCCACAAAATCAGAGGAGCTGTGGTTTCTTAGGCCGAGTGTTCCACTCTGCGGTAGCTCTCAACTCAAGGTTTTATACCTCTGTCTGGCGGTTGGTTCTCCCCCGTTGTTGCTTCATAGGTGTGTTTTGTTCAATTTGTATTGGCTAATATACCACTGCAGGCTTGCAAGGCCGTATGTTCTATAGAAGCATCACACCTCCAAAACCCATCCTCTTTTTATAGTACCTCTGTTGGGACCGCATAAAACACAATTTCA